AACCACAGCTGCCGGTATTTTACCGTAAATGTCACAGATTTTTTTTTTTACAGTGTACAGTAAAATAATACTTTATAATCATAAGAAGATAACAGAAGATCATCATGTGAAAAACCGTAAATTGACACTCCCAGAATTCCCTGCATGACACTTCATATTTGATGTTTTGTTTTGTTTTTTGAAATAGCATGTTTCTTCTTCGTTTTTTCTTATCAGTTGTGTACACTAGGGTTTAATCTTACATCTAATGTTGTTAAATGAATGTTTATTGCATTATTTCAGTATCATGTGTGTCACCATGATGGGGTTTAGTGTTTGTGTGAATGACAATAGCCTCATATTATAACCTCCAAAAACACAGTTGTGATATTGTTTTCAGATTTGTCTGTAATTGTTCAGACACAAGAAGCACGAGTCCTTGAACATAAAAAAAATCACTTTTTTTTTTAAAAAGTTTTTTTAACTTAAATATTGTTACCAAGTATCCCATGGGCCTCTCTCCATCACAGGGTGAGTAAAATGCTTAAATCTTCAAATATGTGTGGTCACATCAATTTTAGATTTCAATTGTTTTGAATTTCAATTGTAGACAGCCTCATTGATTATAAAGTTGTTGTTTTTTTAATAGATAAATTTAGTGCTAGAAAGAAAATCATACAGGTTTGGAAAGGCATGCAGTAAATGACCATTTTCATTTTCATTTCATGACGTCACCAAAATATAAGGCTGGATGAGAATGGCTTAGCGATATTACTATATAGAGAATATTAAATAGTAGCCTATATTATGATGTTGATGTTACTTTGTAATTTTCATGTAGCTTCCAGTCAGACAACCTAATTATTCATGAGCCCACTTAGCATTCTCTGCAAATCAGTTACTACTGATAATCATCACGTTACATAATTAATGCTCATGACAGAAGTGTTCACTGCATCATCAGCGCTTGTCCTTTTGATGGTATAATAATTGATCACCATCCAAAAGACCATCAGAGCATGACCTTGATTTTGGCACAGTGTCTTTCCCTTTGAAACTGCACAATAATTGGCAATAATATCCTGAGTTAACTGTACTGTGTGCAAATGAACAGTGACACGAGAAGAAGGTGAGATTATGGTTCAATGTCAGTGGATAAATATGAATGTAACTTTAGTTGATTAGGAGTTAGGGGTTAGTGTTAAACTACATCAAGGGAAAACATTAACTAATGTAGTCTAGAGGTGCCTGTGCTGCGGTAATATTGAATAACAGCGCCATCTACTGCTCAATCACATCTCTACAACAAATCTGAGCTCAAGTAAGAATGAAGTTTTGACATTTAAAGAGTTCAAACTGAGGTATAGCAAACAGGATGCAGAATCGCATTTCGAATTTATTAAAATGGAATTAAATTCATATAACCTAATCATTTGTGCTAATTCCAGAAACATTAAATTATAATAACGTTCAGTGTCTGAAATGACACTTTGTATTTAATAAAATCAGTATTTAGTTCAAATATATTTAACTATACACTCACATTTTTCAGAGACCATGATGGAAGAATGCATCATTTCCCAGGATGCTCTTATTGTCTATTATAAATCTTCTAAGTGGAGCCAAACAACATGAAGTGGGTTTTCCAGATGGAAACCTTGAAGAAAACACATAGAAAACCATCTGCTCTGGAACTAATGAAATTCCTCTGTTGGATGATTGTGTTGAACATCTTTAATTCAACTTCCTGTGTATTGTGGCCTGAATTGAAAGGAAGCCTGTTTTTCTCAATCCTGCTACATGAACTTTAAGTATTGCAAAGCAGCATATTCATGACTTAAATTCAAATAATAATGCAAGGATAGAGCGAATATTTTTTTATCATTAGAATTTACTGTCAATAATCAAGATCATGTCTACGATATGATATATTTCACCCGAAAAATTTGTGAAAACATTCTTTGTGATAAGAAGAATGACATTAATGTGAACTTTTAAGAATTATTTGCTGCTCAATTATTATTGGTGCTCAGTTATTAATAATAGTTCTTTTTATTATCAATCAACATTTTTTTACTGTCAGTTTTTACTGTCACTTTTAATCAATTTAATGCTTATTTGCTGAATAAAAGCACACACACACATGCCCATTTGAACGGTAGTATATCGTGGTTTCTGCACAAATATTAAGCACATCTGTTCAACACAGATAATAATCAGAAATGATTCGTGAGCAGCAAATCAGCATATTAGAACAAGTACTATATATATATATATATATATATGCATTTAATTCCCTAATAACCAGATCACATGACCTTTGAGTGATTATTATTGCACTGTTGATTGATTTGTCTCACAGCTGTCCTTTGCTGCCCTGTCTCAGAGTACGATGACAGCTTGACCTCTGACCTCTGGGCCAAGCTGCATTTGAGAACCTAAGCTTCATCAGCAATAATTCACAAATACAGTCGCAGACACCGAGAGGTTCTCATGGCTAGAGGAGCGTGGAGAAACCCGGGGTTAGTCAAACACAGCAAAACGCTGACCGGGGTTAGTCAAACACAGCAAAACGCTGAACAGTCATAAACCCTTCAGACCAGAGATTTAATCAGGCTGTTATGAGGTTTGAGCAATAACTGGACTGGCTAACACAAGTCTGAAGCCAAAAAGAGCCAACACAGTCTGAATATTAATTAAAAATATAAATATTAGATGAAAAACTTAAACTTGAAAAACTTAGAAAATTAGAAATGTTACCTTGGCAATTAATAGAATTAAAATTACTAAAACAATAATAAAAAATTTAAGCTAAATAGAAATATTTAAAATAATAATAATAATAAAAAAATGAAAAAACATAAGAAAATTATTCAAACTTAAATGCTCAGTAAAGTTACGTGCAAAGCTGTAAACAGACAATCTTTCTAGACTGTTCTATATTTTAGTAAAAGATGATTTATACTAATTCCAATATTTATGATTTTGGTTCTACTAAAATTAAAAACAATAAATAAATAAATAAAAAATAGCATTTGCCCCTTTATACATTATGAAGTTACTTAAAGATGCAACTGTCTCGTGTAAATGAGACACAAATAATATAAAGGCTCCACTCTAATGAAGCTTCAAGTTTGTAGACTTCTCTATATTTTAGTGAAAAGGATTTAGATTAATTCCAATAATTAAGATTTAGGTCCAACTGAAGGAAAATGCAAATTGCTGTTTAAATAAAGTTGTTTATATAAAGATACAATCAGTGTCTCATTGTGCAAAGCAAATAATATGAAGGCTCTAATGAGGCTTCAAGTTTGTAGACTGCTCTATACTTTAGGATTTATACAATATTTATACAATAACTTATACAATAATTAAGATTTAGGTAACACTGAAGGAAATGTAAAGAAAGAAAAAAAGAAAGAAAATAAATAAATAAGAAAGATTAATACTAATTCCAAAATTTAAGATTAATGACTCCAAATTAAGAAAAAGATTTATACTAATTCCAAAAATTCAATTTAAGATTAATGTCCTAATGAAGGAAAACACACACAAAAAAACTAAAATAAAAGAAAAAGAAAGAAATACTTTATACTAATTCCAAAAATTCTGATTTTGGTACTATTGAAGGAAACAAAACAACTGCAATTGCCCCTGGTTTACATGAAAATGTATTAATGAATAAATTAATTCTATATTTTAGTAAAAGGATTTATTTTTCAATAGTTAAGCTTTAGGTCCAACTGAAGAAAAATGCAAACAAACAACTTCTTCCTCCTCCTCCTCCTCTTCTCCTCCTCCTCCTCTTCCTCCTCCCCCTCCTCCTCCTCCTCCTCAGGCTTTCACTGCCCGCTGCACAGTGCTCTTCCTGCAGCTGAATGCGGCTCATGGAGGAAGTGCTGCTGGCTTTCTTTTCCTCTTTCTCCCTCGTTTCCTTCCCCTAAACCCCCAGCCGCCCTCAGACGCTCGTTTTCTCCAGCACAGCATCAGTGCTGTAGTGATTTTAAGACGTGAAGGAGGAGCTGCAGAAGCCGCTGGAGGAGGAAAGGCCCTTCTAGAGGCAGCAGGAGGAAAGCAGAGCCATGGAGAGCGACTTGCTCCCTCCTCCGCCGACCTTCAGCCCGGCCGTGCCTCCCTTCGTCAAGCTGGGGCTGACGGTGGCCTACACCATCTTCTACTCGCTGCTCTTTGCGTTCGTGTACGTGCAGCTCTGGCTGGTGCTGCGATACCGACACAAGCGCTTGAGCTACCAGACGGTGTTTCTGTTCTTGTGTCTGCTGTGGGCGGCTCTGCGCGCGCTGCTCTTCTCCTTTTATTTCAGAGACTGCGTGACCGCAAACACGCTCGGACCCTTGGCTTTCTGGCTGCTCTACTGTTTCCCAGTCTGCCTGCAGTTCTTCACTCTCAGCCTCATGAATCTGTACTTCGCACAGGTGAGTTCGCCCTTTGCACCTTGCAGTTGTGGCGACATCTGGTTTTAAGACTACAGGTCACATGTACGTTTATGAGAGCAGAACACAAAGAAAAAAGTATTTTGGACATTAAAATGTAAGCAGGAGAAGATATTCTGTCCATTTCCCTCTGTCTTTAGATATGGAAACAGCATTTTTAAGACTTAAAACAACTTTCTGTTCCGGGTTTTATTAAGCATAATTCATAATGCATAGCTGCATAGTTAATTTTAAGAAGAAATTATCTTTTTAAATCTTTCATTGAAACTTATTTTGACGCTGAAACAACTTTCCTTTTCAGTTGACATCAATCCGTCTTATTTATCCAGCCACCTCCAGTGTTATTTTAGTATCACTGCTATACCATTATAAATTAGATTTTTATTTTAATTTTAATTTTAGTTACAGTTTTAGCAATCTTGGTTATTTTATTATTATTGGAATGCCATTACAGTTTTTCTTAACATTTTGAATTAGATTCCATTTTTATATTTTCGGTTTTAATTTTAGTTAATTTTTGAGTAATTTTGTTATTTCAGTATAATTGGTATACAATTATAGTTTTTGTTAATATTCAAAATTAACCATATATACCATATAATATATTTTGTTAATATTTAAAATGTGATTTTCTGTTTTTCTTTTAATTTTAGTTTAAGTTTAATAATAATTATTTAAACTTTATTTATTTATTAATTATATTTATTTTATTAATATTAATATTTATTATTTTAAAATAATTCAGACAATTATAGTTTTTGTTAATATTTTAAATTAGATTTTATTTTTACATTTTTATTTTAATTTTAGTTTTACTTTATTTATTTTTATTGGTATACTATTATATCTTTTATTAATATTTTAAATTAGATTTTATTTTTATATTTTCTGTATTATTTTGATGTTTTATTATTTTAAAGTTTTAGTAATTTCTTTGTGTTTTTGTCATTTGTATTAGTTTTTATTAATATGTCTATATAGTTTTTATTACGTTTTAGTTTATTTTAATTACTTAACCTTAAATTATCAAGAGTATAAGAAATGTTGCCTTGTCAGCTAGCTGAAATACATTTTAGTTAATAATAATAATTTTTTTTAATGGTTTTAGTTTTAGTTAACAATAATAATTCTGGCCACCTATTAATACAGAAAAACTTTTTACCATTTCACCATCCAATCAATATCTGATGGATAAAACAGAAATATATAAATCAGATTTATCTCATTAGTGAAACCACACATCTTGCATCTTGAAGCATCTTGGTCTCTCAGTGTGGATTATGTAATCATACTGTGTACAGTATAGAAAAAACACTCTCCAACCATGATTATTGCTGCATATATCATAATAATATGACAGCGAAGGCAAGGAAGAGCAACTTGGGTCATTATTGATTATTGAGTGTATTGTACATTCTCACAATGCATATTGTTCCAAAGCAGAGATGTTACAGTATACAACTATTCTTCCTGTTTTGTTATGATCAAAGCTGCGTATGTAAATGAATCATACGTGTGGGAGTTCAGCGTGAGTAAAAAAAGAGAAGTGAAATAATTCGCTGTGGTCTGAAGCATTTACACTACACTATAAAAAACACTACAGGAAAAGCTGTGAATTATTTACAGTAAATCACCATATCTACCATATACGTACAATAAACAACTGATTTATATTTAACACGACAATGCATGTTATTTTAAATGTACAAGCACACGTGGGTTCCCACAAACATACTTTTGTCATTTAGTGTACAGTATATATGGTTAAGAGCTGTAAATTGTGCATTTTTGGAATAAACAAACGCAATTTTGGGGATTTGTAAGTCTAGTTTTATTCAAGTCAAAAAAGTATCATCTTTCTTTCACACTAATGTCATTTTTAAAGGCCAGATCATGTTGAAATAGCTCAGTAAGGTAACTTTTTACAGTTGCTTTACAACTGTCTGGTGTCTGTTATGATCACAATGCTCCGACAAGGGAACTGGTGACTTTTATGATCATAAATGTGTCATTCTTGGTTTAATAATTCATGAGCTTAAATGCTTTATGCATGCAATATTTACACTAACCTACGGCTTGTTTTCTGGTACAGGTCATTTTCAAGGCGAAGTCTAAATATTCACCAGAACTTCAGAAGTACAGGTGCATATGGACCCCAAAAAATATATTCTGAAACTTCCATACGCCTACTTCCAAAAATACATGTTGTTAATAATTTCTAAAGTTTTATATTGATTTTAATTTTAAATGTAATAATTTTTTCCTAAACTTTGGAATAATCTACCCCAAAATCTCTCCAGATATTCATAACTCACTTATTTACACTGTTTTTGTTTCTTTTGCTTATGTATTTGTTTTAGGTATTACATTTGTAAATTATATTATGTATTACATTTGTAAAGTGACCTTGAGGTATTATTATTATTATTATTAATGGTATCTTACTATTTGGAAAAAAAATCAAGTATATGGAAAAATAAACCATTTTTATTACAATCAAAATGTAAAAAAATTATGCCCTTTTGGTCGGTTTAGGAAAAAAGGCTAATAATTTTTTTAAATAAATACTATAATTTAAAATGTTTTTTTTTTTTTTTTTAGCTTTTTATAATATACTGTTTATAGATAAAGCAGAATAATATTTTTAAATAATTAGTATTATATTATATTTTTATTAATATTTTAAATCAGTTATTTTTGTATTTCCTGTTTTAATTTGAATTTTAGTTGAAGTTTTAGTAATTTGTTCTGTGTTTTGTCATTTTAAATAGTTTATATATATAAGATAAACTCAATGAAATTTGAAATGTTCCTTTGGCAAGTAGCTGAAATAAAAGTTATATTGTTATATTTTATTACAGTTAATGTTTATTTCAAGTAATGAATATGTTTTTTTATGGTTTTAATTTTAGGTTCAGTTTTAGTTAACTATAATAATCCTGCATGCATGTACTGCAAGAATGCGCTAGCAGCATTTTATTAAGTATTTGACTGTATTCTGAATACGTCAGGCTGCCTCTGTACCTGCTCTTCCTGTGCATCAGCATCATCTTCCTGCTGGTGAACCTGACCTGTGCTCTGCTGGTGAAGATGACGAAGGCCGACACAGAGACTGTAGTGCTGGTGCGCGTGGCCATCAACGACACTCTGTTCGTCCTCTGCGCCGTCTCACTCTCACTGTGTCTCTATAAGATCGCCAAGATGTCTTTGGCCAACATCTACCTGGAGTCCAAGGTAATGAAACACAAATACACATAAGACAAATTAAAGCAGATGAAAGCTTGGGTGACACTCTACAGAAAGATTAAAGTCAATATGAATATACTACAATATACACAGAAGACAACAGGTGTGTGTGTGTGTGTGTGTGTGTGTGTGTGTGTGTGTGTGTAGGTGTATGTGTATGTTAGACTAGTTTAAGTGTTTATGTAGTTAATAAAG